TTTATGTTTGAAGGAACATTAAATATTACTGTCAGATTTTTACCAAGTTGTACGAAACAAAAGTATTGAATTACAAATTAAAATAAGAAATGGATTTTTAAAAATATTTATTTGTTATTAATAATTTTAAAAATATTAATTAAGTAATAAAAATTCGGATTACAATAACTTAATGTGCACCTATGTATTAAACAATTAATGTGCAACAGGTATCTAATTGTTAAGGTATTAAAACTAACATAGTAGCACACAAAATATTCAATGAGAAAATTGAGATTTGTCTTCTGCAACCACCGAAGAATAGATATTTAAATTTAAAATTTACAAATCTGAGTGAAAATATTTTTGTCCAAAATGAGTGGTTTCAAAAAGTTAAATATGAGAATTTCTTTGAGAAAATTTCTGATACGCACATGCTAAGTTATATTAACAAAATACAAAAAAATTGAAATAAAAAAGAACATACATGATTATTTTTGTATTTGAATAAATATTTTCTTGGATGCAAAACCTGTTGCACCGTTGGTATGTTAAATTTCACAGAAACAAAGAAATTAGGTTTTTATTAACTAAAAAAGTATTTCAAACCCATATAGATTTTTTACGAAAATCGTCCGCAAAAAAATAAATGATATATTTTAATTCGCGGGCCACAAAAAAAAAAACACTTCGCTGGCCGCCAGTTGGAAACCCCTCAGCTAGAACATTAAACATTACTGATGGAAGGAAAAATAGAGATGAATGGTTTCGAGAAAAAGTTAGTTGTTCAGCTAATTATTCAGCGATGTGTATAAAAAAATATATGAGAATAGTTTTTTTGTTTTGCTTGCTGTTAAAAATAAACTAAGAAAATAAAGAATATAATGAATATATTTTTTCTAGAAAAAATAATCAAGTCAGTGATGAAATACAGTAAACTCTCGCTACTACGATATCCGATACAACAGTAACTCCCTCTGTTACGATAATGTTTTGTGGTCCTGAGAAACTCTCATATGAATTAATGTTGTGTTCCTCTCAATATTACGATATCCTCTAAAGCAGTAAACCCTGTAAAACTATTTTGTTTCCAAATTTCAACCTTATATTCTCCATTTATTATTGGTTTTTAAATAATGTAAAAAATCTAATTTCACCATCTTTTGTTTTTTTCTCTCCATCTTTTCTAACAAGAGAAGATTCACTGCTGACCAGCCCAAGAGCTTCCATTCTTAGAATTGCCTCTTATTTCTTAAGAAGTTGCAGATGTTACTTTCCTATCTGATTTCATTTCCTTTATCTTAAAAGCTGATCATGAGTCACAAATGACCATGCTCAAATATTAACACCTGAAAGAGAATTTTTTCCATTGAGGGTGGGTGGGGCACTATTCAAAAACTAAAATTATTTTCGTGCTTTGGACTCAATTCATACATTGTTAGTTGACTTGATTGTCAAAAAAATGAATAAACAAACAAAAATATCAGATTATTTTTGATAAAAATGGTTTTCAGCTATGTTCACAATCTTGTTTTCTGAATTTATATCAATTGCTTTCTAATATTTAACCATAATTAACACTCCGAAAATTAGTTTTTTGTGTAATATATAAATAGATTTATAGTTACTACACATATATCATTAAAATTAAAAAAATATCTCATTGTGTCTCCAAATTTTGTAGGTCCTCGATATAACGATATATCCCTCTACAACAATATATTTATTTGGTCCCCAAAATATTGTTGTATATAAGTTATTCCAATGGAAAGATATATTTTGAAGGTTTAGAGCTTTAAGTTTTTGGAAATTTTAGTAAACAATGAAAATTGTTTAGAGTGGCGCCCGTGTAAAATGTAATGGTGAAAATGTGTCCAGATTAGTAACACCTTTTAATTACTGCTCCTTTGGATCAATTTTCTTTATATCTACCCCTACAGACCCAAAGTTTTTAAAATTATACTGTAAAAATGTTTCAACCTGACTGGTTAAAGAGTATGTATGGTTAACTGTGTAAAGCTAAACACAGATGGCGCTAGTGATTAAAATTCGGGATTAAAGCTAATGATGGGAGACTTCCAGGTTACTACTTCCGATGGATTTTTACGCCTGAGCTTGGTTTAGCTCCCTAATCAATTTTATTATACTTGTAGAGCTCACAATATTAAACTTTCTTTCAATTTAACATGGTTTCAATAAAACAAACAACAAATGAATTCGAAAACTCTGCAAGCATGTTATGATGCTACCTAGAAAATAACTTCTGACAATATTTTACTAATTTTGGCTAAATAAGAATAACATCCAAAATGTAGCAAACCATACATTTTATTTATGTTGCAGATTGTTGCAGTTGTTTATTNGCAAAAATTTTAACCTGGGTGTAGCAAACCATACATATTATTTATGTTGTGATATTAATTTTGTTAAGTTTGTTTTAGACTCACAACCTGTTAGAATTTATAAATTGCAGAAAATTCTTATGAATGGTAAATTTTTGTGTAAATTTGAACAAATGTCAGAGGCTAATAAAACTTCCTAAAATATTAAGCTTGTTCACACGTAATGTAAACAGAGGCTGGTTTTATTAAGTTTGATATTGTTTGCATTCAGTGAGCTATCCATAATATTTATTTTATTTTAAGCAGTTGATGTGCTTTCTTTTCTAGAACCTGAAAATGGCAAATTAGAGGGTGAAGTAGGAAGTCAGGAGAACATAGCACCGCCATCTTGGTGGGAAGTTAAGAAGTAAGTTTTCAAATTCTTATCTACATTTATGGGAATATGTGTGCAGTCCACAAAATTTGATCTAATGATTGTGACAGCCGAGACTGTCGCAAGAATATCATTCAGGGGTCTCCAGGTCAAATTTACTACCGTTTAGTGGTACCTTCACAAATTCAATTTTGGGAAAAACGGTAGCTTTGCAAAATACTTTAAAAAAAGCAAATTTTAAGATTCCCCCCTCCCGTTCCCTTAAAATTTTGTTGTATTCCCATTAAAATAATGAACCCATGGTTAATTGCGCATTTAAATTTGCAATGGAACCCTCTTGTGGATTGATACTGTGACGTAGAAGGATTTGCTTTTTTCTCCCCATGCCTGGCTGAAAGTATGCTGGGATTGCCAAAATGCTGTGGGAGAAAAGAAGCGTCAGCTACTCCATTCCCTTATTGAAGTGGGAGAAAAAGCCCTAGTACAATGCAAACCCATTCTCGTTGCAATCTATGGAAGAAAGGAGTTTTTCTGCTGTCTTCTGGGAATAGGTAGCACGTGTTTGGTCTGAGAGTTCTGTAAGATAAGCTTAACCTGTCCCTTACGTCATGTATTAGTGAGTTTTTCCATAGTTTTTTAAAATGAAAGAACAAGTCTCTCCCCCTGCAAACTTTACTGGAAGTCAAAATTCTAACTACTATCTTAAGCATTTTTCTGAATTTATTCTAACAGACCTTTATTTTTTTATGAAACATTTTTTTCTCTGAAACTTTTTTCTGTATAGCTCAGTCAAAAATTTTCTCTTAATGAAGTTAACTTTTAGTGTTAGTACTGTTACATTTATGCTTTTATTAAATTATAAAGTAAAATTATAAAGTTAAAATTTAAGGACAATGATTTTTATGGATTTTTAAATTTGTGTGCAATGTTAAGCCCAAAATTTTACAACAGCAAAATTGTTTTTGAACAAATGGGAAAATTATGTATAGAAATTCACCATTTATTTTTTTATTTTTAGTGACAATTTTTGAAAATATTTTCTTATCTTACTATATTTTTGTGTTGATTTCTCAATTTAATTTTTAATTTTCACAAATTGTGTCTAAATTTTCACAAAATAGGTACCTCGTAAAAAAAACCAAGACAGACCCCTGGTCATTCTGTGTGTCAACAAGACAAATAAAGCATGACATATTAAACATCTTATTTTAAAGGCATAAACTGATGTAAAAAAAAACATAACGTACTCTCACAAATAGTGACAAATGAGCAACGAAAAGAAATAATACAAATTATTCTGCTTCAGCAGAAGCTTATATCCTCTTGTTTAACAGATAAAGGATGTCATGATCCACATGTGAACAACCAACAGCAAATGAAAAGAAACCGGCTGAACCTCACAGACAATCACATTACCGACAAAGGTTGAATTCATGAGATCATCAATTTAAACAAGACTGGCAAAAATCAAAATTTTTTTTAAAATTTTATTTTTTAATCAATCAAAATATAAAAACCTTTTACAATTTATTAATCTAACAGATTGGATTTAATTTTAATGGTTCAAAGGAGTGACTTCAAATATGTCTCTCAATGTTTAATTAAATATCCTTGTGACTTCAAGTACATCTATGTATGTTTAATTAAATATCCTTGTAGATAGTTATTGTAGATTATTTAATTATTTCTGTATCATTGAAAATATTCGTTATTACAGTACATAAACAGGCAATTTTTTTTCGGTCTCAAGAGTGTTCACTTAACGGAGGTTTCACTGTACTTAGTATTTTTATGTACTCAGTTTTCCAATGTTCTTTTTTCTTGTGTAATATTTTAATGTTGAATTGGCTTGTTACCTGTCATTAGATTTTTAAAAAATCATTCTTTTTGGTATTTAGAAAGCAATTTGATCGCCATAACCGTCGCATCAGAAGGGGTTGTCGAAAACTGGTGAAATCTCAGGCTTTCTATTGGATTGTCATTATTCTAGTGTTTTTAAATACAATCACCTTAGCTTCAGAACATCACCATCAACCACCCTGGCTGGATGAGTTCCAAGGTAACTCCAAAAATAGCTTTTTAATAAAATTTTTTGAATGGTGATTGAGGGATCATTCGCTAAATTACTTTTTGATTAAACTGTTAAGCATTTTTCTCCCAAGAATATTGAAATCCTATTTTATAATTAATATATTAAGGTTTAATTAAGTATTTTTATGAGGTATTATATAGCTGATACTGGTTGATTTTTTAGTGCAACAGTAATATTTATGTACAACAGCAGTACAATAACAGTACTATAAAAATTTTCTATATAATGACCTCAATCTATTAAGAGTTGTTTAGTATTAATTAAATTTTGTTGAATATAATATTGAAAAGTATTATATAGGAAAGTATTGAAACTTCCTGTATTAAACAAAGTATTACAGAAAAGAATATTTTCTAATCATTTTTTTATGCTTGTATTTTTTCTAGTGTATGTATATTGTATGTAATCTAGTGTATGTATATTGTTTCAAAAAAATATACTCATAATGTGATATTTTCAGAATACGCCAATATATTCTTTGTGGCTCTCTTCTCATTGGAGATGCTTCTGAAAATGTACAGCTTGGGCATCCAGGGTTATTTTGTGAGCCTTTTTAATCGCTTTGACTGTTTTGTTGTGATTTCGTCCATTTTGGAGATGGTTCTTCTATACACAGATGTCATGCCTCCCCTTGGTGTATCTGTATTGCGTTGCGTCAGACTCCTTCGCATCTTTAAAGTTACAAAGTAAGTTTTTTCCTTGTACTTTTTTATGTACTTATAGAAAAGTTTCTTAAGGCTGGGTGATGACCTTTAAATGAGGAATATTTAATTTGTCTACCGTAAGAACTCCCCCCACTGCCACAAAGTCTGAGGTTGTCTGCTGCTACGGAAACAAGAATATCACATTTCAGGGAGGGTAGCTACACTTTTCACTAGGGCTAACACCATAAATCAGAGAAAAAGATTCCTTTTCTATCGCCGACCTGTGCCAAAACCTATCCTAAACAGTGACCCCACATTCCTACTTAAAATAGTTTTACCTCATTACCATAGTCACCGCCATGAGTCCAGACTAATGACTGGTGAAGTTCTACATTAGACAAACTAAAGTGTACTGCTGCAGAATTAAAAGTAACACTGATCTGAGACAACTAAAATTTGACTAAAATTGTTCAATAAAATTGACCTATTAATGATTAATAAAATTGACCTATTATTAAAAAGTATCAATTGACTAAAATGTGATATAAAATAATTATATTTCTCTCTGCACTAGCAGTCAAAGATGGTATGCTGTTTTGGTTTCTGTTTCAGTCACAAAATAACACAATCATAATTATGAAATAACTTCAGTCACAAAATAACATAATTAATCATAATTGTGAAATAACACATTTTCCCTATACTAATTTTTAATTTAAATCCACTTAATTCAGGGTTGTCACTCTGCAAGGAGAACAGGGAAAACCTGAAAAATACAGAGAATTTAAAAATCACCTAAAATAACAAGGTTAGTTCGGGGAATTTTGATTTTTTTTTTCTTTGTGAACTGGAAAAATACAAGGAATTTTATTTATTACTTTCCTTTTTTGAAAGATAGTCCGCTCAAAGGTATGTGATATTTATGGGTGATATTTCCGCTAAACTAAACTAATACATTTACTATAGCATTATCTGTTTTATTTATGTTCAACTGTTACTTATTTTTGCAGCAATTAAATAAAACTAACCCAACCAAGCCCACACACAAAAGTGCAGTGATTGTGTGTTTCCTCTTAATATATTGTGTATAATATAGGGAATGTTTTTCTATATTTGAATGGCAACTCTGTTATTTAATTTTTTAAAAAAAATCTTGACATGGAGCTGAGAAAATGTGTCTGAATTAGCAATATCTTTTAATTACCATTGGCAAAAATTTCTACATTTACTGCTCTGTAGACCAGCAATTTCCTTGCTCTGTCGCGACATCTTTAGATTTAATGAAGGTCATGCTGCAGGCATGCCACTTTTCGGAGCTGTTTTTCGAAGATGAAACCAAATCTTGCGTGAAAGTTTATTTAGAATTTTCGACTGTTTTCTTTAATAATCAACCTGCAAGTGACGTAGTGTGGGTATCACAATCCTGATTGGTTGTTGAAACGTGCATTTGTTTTCATCAGCAACTGTTCTTTCCTTTCTATTTCGAGTAGGCCAAGCATGTCAAGTATCAATTCTCTTAAGTGACACATTCTAAATCCTTTCTCAAAGATTCTATATCGACGATTTCAATTCTTTTATACAGAGACTTAACGCAAAGACAGACACAAAGCTAAGTGGAACATAAACAAACTAATTATGCATCAAAGTTGCTAGGTACACGAAACAAAAATGTATCGCTTTCATAATAAAATACATTGACAAATAATAAATTTAAGTTAAGTAAAAGAAGTTGACTAGGAAGAGTTATATTTCAAAAAAATCGACACACTTTATGGCTCTGTATTTAGTTAACTTAACGCTAATTAACATTCTAAGTTGCATAGAGAAACTTGGATCAACTTTATTCCGCCCTTTTGCCGATAAAGATTAGCTGGCGCTGACATCATAGGTCACATGTGTGGGTAAGGTGGGTTGTCTTCTTGGAGTGCAAGTACCCAATGGCACATTTCTTTTTTATAGAACAGGGGCTGTATAATCTAACTTAAATAATGCTTGTCTCTTTATGTAGATATTGGACATCATTGTGTAATTTGGTTGCATCATTGATCAACTCAGTCCGTTCCATTGCAAGTTTGTTGTTGCTGCTCTTTCTCTTCATTGTGATATTTGCTCTGTTGGGTATGCAGGTGTTTGGTGGACGATTCAGCTACAAACCACTAGAAGAGAAACCTAGGCATAACTTTGATACTTTCGTTCAGGCATTGCTCACAGTCTTTCAGGTAAATAATGTGTTTCATTAAATAATACCAAACTAGGGAGTCACTTTGTTGGAAGGCTTGAGCGAATTGAGTATTGGGTATCTGCCCACTTTGAAAGTCATGGATTTCGGTATTGAACAAAATTTGTAATGAAATGTCATGATTTTAACTATGTTTTTTAAAAAAAATTCCTGGAAAGTCATCGGTTTTAGGTCGCCGAAAAATCTAATTTTTAAAATGGAATTTACTCCTCGTCCCCGATTTCACAGTGTTCCGATATTAAAATATGTGAATTTGTCACAAAAACCCCACTCACAGTCTTATTTTATTAAAACATAAAATGTTTTTATCCTGTTTTTTAAAAATTATGGTGTTCTTTCAAAACAGGAAAGAAAGAACATCATTTCTAGAGCGAATTATCTCTCAAACTTTCTGTGATTTCAGAATTTTTTTTGTTTATTATTTTTTTTTTTATTCTATCAATTTAAAATTCTAGCTAAAGCAAGCCAGTTATTGACAATTTTTTTATTATTTAGAAATGAGAACAGAAAAATCAGGAGCATTTCTTTTCTTTCCGATGAGCAAGAAAAGTATCTTTGGAATATAATTCTGCAGAAAAAAATAATAATAAAATAATTGCTTTTGTATTTTTTCCAGCTATTTTATTGCTTCGACTATTTCTTTACTCTGTTTTTTAAATTTAAAAGTTGATGAAGATGTAGAGTATAACAGTTTTGGTTATACCTATCATTTTAATTAATGTTATTATGATGCTTTTATTGAATTTATTGCTGTGTTTTTGTTGGAGAGAATAGTAACTTTGTTAAATCTTGAAAAATTCTTGGAATTATTCATGGTAAGCCATGAAAAGTCATGGATTTGAAAATCTAAAATGTAGGAGATACCTTGTGAGTGCCTCCCAATGAAGTGAATCCCAGTAATAGCTTGTTGATAAACTCTGACTTACACCAACGCAGAGCTGACATAAAATATCCTCCATGGCAGACAGATTAGAATCCCCTTCTCTTTGGACTAACTGTGGGAGGTTTTTATTGTAATCCTCTTCATATAATGCAAATGTAGGTTAGTTCCATCAAAAAAGCCTAGTTTGTTACAATGTTTGATCCAGGAGTTCTTGCCACTTCTGGGTTGGGTAAATTACAAGACTACAGTGTTGAGCATTGACAGTCGTAAACTCAATATTGGGTCGGTTGTTCAACTCTGGTTATATATGTATGTATGTATATATATATGTATATATACATATATACATATATATATATATATATATATATACATAAACCCAAAAATTGGGTCGGCTGTTCAACGACGGTTATAATATAAAAATAAAATATATACAATGCGCCAAGAAAAGCAGACATCCCTGAATAACTTTTGATCTAATGATCGGATCTTCACGTTCTAAGACGCAAACTTAATGGTTGAGGGGTAGACCTCAAGCATGCAAATTAATTAGCGCAGATGATATTTTAAGTNTATATATATGTATATATGTATATATATGTATATATGTATATATATGTATATATAACCAGATATAAAATGGAGTAGTGCACTCTTTAAATTCCTACTAAAATGAAGGCTGTAATCTATGTTATCATTTCTGTCAGTCTTCAGTCCTGGGGACTGAAATCAGTCTTTAGAAAATCAATGAATTAAATTCCATCAATATTTTTCTCCCTGGCTGTTGACGTGAAATATCCTCAGTAGTAGATGGATCATGGGTTAGAGTTCCCTTGCTGTCGGGCTAACCGTGGGAGGTCCTCATGGTCTTTCTCTCCATGTAACTGCAAATTTGAGTTGGTTCCATCAAAAAGTCCTCTACGAAGGCAAATTTCTCCCGATACTTGGACCAAGAATTCCCTTGGGTTCTGGATTGGGTTCAAAATTACAAGGCTACAGGTTTGAACATTGGTAGTTGTAAACCCAAATTTGTGTTTGCTGTTCAATGACGATTATAAAAAAATTATTTCTCTCCCAATTGTTTTTCAAATTAAATTTTCTTTTATTTCCTTAAAAGTGTGAGAAAATTTTCTATTAAAAATAAATAAATAAATTTTGTTGAAAACGTTTTTTTTTTATATTTATTGCTAAAAAATCAGAACATTCGCTTGTGAAAACAAAATTTGTACTATAGCTGAATACAAATTCTAATTTAGTTTACGCTTTCTCCCAACCTTTTGAAATGCTAGACGAAGTTGAATAATGATTTATTAATTTTTTTGAACAGAAAAGAAATCGAACTAGGATAAAAAGTAATGGTAAAATAAAAAATAAATGGCGTGAGGAAAAATTCAATGGTTTATATCAGTGATTTTACTGTCATTAGTGTAAAAAAGATTTATAAGATTAACTATTTATTTGTTAGTTTGCTGTAAATTAAAGTAGTGTTGATTTTTTTAGAAAGAATAAACAAATTATTGATTTAATATAGTGACCATTATCGTGAAAGGTACGTTTTGGTGTCAGATAGCTATAAATTTCTAAATATTCCGGTAAACAACACTGAACTGTAATAATTAGTCAAAAACTAAGTTCATTCTTGTGGCAACCATGTATTATCTCTACTTTCTTTAGATTTTTTTAACAAATAAGCTATTTTTATTATCAAAGTATGCTCTACTCTTATTTATTTCTGAGGATGTTATTTAGATTATTATTTTAAACCTTAAGAAGCAACAATTTTTGAGTTAACTTCAGTGGAGATATTCATGATTCCAGCATTGGAAGTTTTGCATGAAACAATAGTTTCTCTTAAAATTTAGAATGAACTTTTGTTCTATTTAGATTCTGACTGGTGAAGATTGGAATGAGGTCATGTATGACGGCATACGTGCGTATGGTGGTGTTGGATCATATGGAGCTTTGGCCTGCATCTATTTCATCATATTATTCATTTGTGGCAACTGTATCCTTTCTCATATGTAGTTTTTACTAATTAAAGGTGACCTGGATTTTTACATCCTTTGTCAAGCTATTAAAAATTATGTTTTGGAGTACTTTTCCCCATTATGTTGGAGTACTTTCCCCATTATGTTGGAGTACTTTCCCCATTATGTTGGAGTACTTTTTTTCCTTTTGTTCATTAAAATGGATTTTATGCAACATATTTAAAAAATTTTTAGTTATTAAATCTCAGAGTGTTTTTTATGATACTTTAGTTGCCTTGAAATATAAAAAAATTCAAAATTGGTATCTATAAATTACAATTTAATGCAGCAAAAGCTCGATATAGCCAGTCGGGCATATTACAAGATGTCTGCTATTGCCATACATTTCCAAGTCACAGTTAAAAAGCTAATATTAAATATACAAAAATTGTATGTTTATAACAATTTAAAAAAAAAAAGACATGATGGCTCAGGGGATAGGAAATCCGCCTTCCAATGAGGTGAATTATGTTAGAATCTCAGCAAGTGATGGTCGATACGAATTCTGCATCCAGCTTGCACCGACCTCAGTGCTGACGTAAAATATCCTCAGTGGCAGACGGATCATGGGTTAGAATCCCCTTGCTGTCGGGCTAACCGTGGGAGGTTTTCGTTATAGTCCTCTCCATGTAATGCAAATCCGGGTTAGTTCCGTCAAAAAAGTCCTCCATGAAGGCAAATTTTTTTCAATACTTGATCCAGGAGTTCCCTTGCCTTCTGGATTGGGTTCAACATTTCAAGGCTACAGAGTTGAACTTTAGTAACCCAAAAAGTTGGGTCGGCTGTTCAACAACGGTTATACAAGTTAAAAAATTTTTTAAAAAGACAAAATTATGACAAAATACAACAATACTATCACAAAATCATGCTGGCAAAAGAAAGTTTCTGTAATTTCAGAAATCCTACCTTGAACACTTTTGTTGACCACAAATCTAACAGCTAGTCAAAACAAATCTAATCAGAATGCTTTTTTGACAGCTTCCTTTTAAATCAACATTTGCTATTAAAAGGTATTTGCACTTAATTTCATTTTTTCTTGCTAAAACTTTGTTGTTCAAACATTTCCATCCGAGAAATGCTTGTTTTTCATAAAGTTCATAATTACAATCTGTAGACTAAAGCTACAAAAGTTGTATTTTAAGTCAATATAGTTATTCAAAATAAAAGAAAAAGCAGACACCAGTGAAACTCAAAATCGCCAATGGCGCCAACAGATGTCATTCCTTTTGTTGTGTATTTCCTTAATGCATTGAAGATATTCTCTTAAATGTTTTCTTGGCTATCGCTGTAGATAACTTGGCTGATGCTGATAGTCTGAGTGGTGTTGAAAAGGTGAATATATACTCTTACCATAATAGACAGATATTTAAAATAAATTTTCTAGCATGTTAAATGTTGTGTGTATATAGAGCGTAATAAAGACAAAAAGGTTAAAATGAAAAGAGAAAAACAGAGAAAATTAAGAAAATTTTTAAGTTTTATTTACTGTTCAAAACTTGCAAGTATATAGAACTCATAAGATAAGTTAAAAATATGGAGGAAACATGGAAAATATTTGAGATCAATATTTTTCTATTAATATTTATATGGAGATAGATATAAAAGGGAAGAAGAAAAGTTAAAATGATTTAAAAAAATCTATATTGAAAAGCAAAAAAAATGAAAAGATATATCTTTATCGACTCACAAGATTATATCCGAAAAAAGGAGTGCTTTCTAATAATATATCAATGTAGCAAAAGCAAAATATATCAATACAATAGTGTGAGAAGCACTAAAAAATATATCACTTAGTAAACAGAAAATAAAATGTAAAGAAATTAACATCAAAACTAATAGTAGATAGTAGCTAATTCAAATGAATTTACACGCTCAGGAAACTTTTAAGAATAATTTAAAATATTTTCTTAATAAGATTTGCAGATTACAAAATAGGAAAATAGAAGCGCAAATGGGGCTAAACGTGTAAATAGAGAGATTTTGTTATATTATCTATATAACTACACTGCTCAAAATTATTAGGGGAGCACATGGCTCCCCTAATTTTTTTGAGCAGTGTATAATGCTACCAAAATACATTAAATATACACTGCTCAAATAAATTAGAGGAGCACATGGCTCCCCTAATTTTTTTGAGCAGTGTATATTTTGTATAACTTGATTTACACGTTCCAAATATATACCTTGTTTTTAAAAAGTTCCTTAATTGAGGTATTTTTTACAACGGATACCGTTGGTTGGAAACTAAAAAACACTTTGTTTAAGTAACTATATTTTGTATAACTTGATTTACACGCTCCAAATATATACCTTGTTTTTAAAAAGTTCCTTAAGTGAGGCATTTTTCACNATGTTGCTGAATGGTTTGCTAGAAATGTTTATTGTATTTTTTATTAACTTGTTACATCTGCCCTTATTATAAATATTATTAAATTGACCACTGAAAGACCACAATATTTATAATCAATTACTATTAAGTATAAATTAGGTCTTAAAATTCTGCGCAAAACTAAAATAAGTTATTTGAAAATAATTATTTTTTAAAAAACACATTTTGAAAACTAACCTTATTGGTACTATATTGAATTTAGCTTGTTTAAGCCATCCTTTTAATACTTGGTGATAAACAATTGTAGTGGTCATTTTTAGTTTATTTTTCTTCTGATGCCCCGAAAGAAATTAGTTTCTTTCGGGCACTGACAAAATGCCAATCTTGGTTTTAAGTACACACTGTCTGGTCAAAAGTATGCGGATACCTAGTGGTATGAACTTTCCTGGGGCAAATATTAATCCCCCTTTTGCATCAACGACAGCCTTCTGGGACGACTTTCTACCTGTTTTTGAATAGGACTTCCATCACAGCTGAAGGGAGGGCTTGTAGGGAGGATTTAGCTGGAATCTGCCCTCTCATTCGTCCCAATGGTGTTCTATGGGATCGGGATGTTCTGTGTTAAAGAGATTACTGTGTTGTAGCGCCCGCTGGAGAAAACATAATTCGTGTATTGAGAATGCGGTGTGCCTATGTGAGAGTTTTTGTATAACGAGTGAAGCGTTCTCCGAAAATAAAGTAATGTTGTTCTAAGGTTCTGATCATCCTTCTGTTGTGAATATTACTACCGAGTAAGCATGGGGCTCTGTGAAGGCCAATACAGTTTTTGAACACCCTCAAATCACGTCTGTGCAACCCTCGATGTGTGAATGTTGTAAGAGAAATGTGCCGAAATATTGTCATAGAGTACAGCATTGTCCACATGCATCTCAGAGTTCATGTTTCGTACAACAGGAACTAACGGTCACAGGCCAAACTATGAGAAACACCCCCACACCATTATTCTTCCATCACCATAACAACCGGATATCCGGATAATTTAAGTCAGATAGTGTATCGTAGCACATTTTAATCTTTTGTTACCTAATTCTAGGAAGGAGAGGAAGGGGAAGAGGGTGAGGTTGTCGAAGGAGAAGAAAAGGAAGGACTCGATGACGACCTTTGTAATATCAACCGTAGAAAAAGTGAATTACCTAAAATGGATGGTTTGAATAACATAGGGTAAGTTATAGCTCTATTTTCATGTAACAATTTCCCTTATTCTTTGCCGTTGTAACTCTACTGGCTTTTCTGGTCGATCAAATCTTATATAAGCTTGTTTTTTGGCACTTTTGGATTTCTCAATTCAGGGTTACCACTCCATAGGAAAAACCTAGAAAATACAGGGAATTAAAAAATCATCTAAATTAACAGGGAATTTATCCTTAGAAACTGGGAAATACAGGGAATATTTATTCCTTACATTCTTTTTCAAAATGTTGACCTCTCAAAGTGCAAATTATGGATAATTTAAAAATAGTTCAGCTATACTATAAGATTTCATTTGCTGTATTATTTTTTTGTGTATGTTAAACTGTTCTTTAGTTTTTCATTTGTTTCCAGCAATTAAAACTAGTTTTAATTGTACTAATCTAGCATTTGCACAGTGATTGTGTTTTCCCCCTTAATATATTGCGTATAATATATGCAGGGAAAACAGAGGAAACTTTTTTTTTCTTCTCCTGATAGGAGTGGCAGCCCTGTCAATTGTAAGCAAAAATAAACAAATTACAACCTCCCCTGACCATTTTAAGGATTTAAGTGAGAAAGTTGTAGCACCCTGACTTTGTAAGTTCTAATCCCTTTTTACTGTAGTTCTCTAAGTTTAAGAATGAGAGAATTGATAAAATATGTAATTTTGAATAAAACAAAATTTATATTCCTAAAAAATTTTTTTAAAACTTTTAAGGAAAGTTTTTTTGAACTTCTTTATTTCCCCAGTTGTTTTTATTCCGAATTTAAAAATTTTCCCTTTTGTAATTTTTTTCTCAAATTTTTTTATTGCATTTATTTTGTAATTTTTTTTATTTTAAAAAATTGCAGATAAGGTTATTTTAATGTCTTAAGTAAGAATCACTCATTCCCCTTCTCTCTATTGGCAACAGAAAAAAAAAAGATATCAAGCCCCCTCCTCCCTGTAGTTGTTTACATAATATTCGAACGGCTCCTTTTTGTGAGACTTCTGGAAATTTGTCAGCCTTATGCTTATCCGAAAACACTTTTGGTTATTTTTATTTTAGAACATTTTGAGTTAGGAAAAAATCTATCACAAATTCATTTTTCTGGGATATGTCTGGTTTTTTTTTAGAGGTACCTGTTTTGTGAAAATTTAGACGTAATTTGTGATAATTCAAAATTATATTAAAAAATCAACTGAAGAATATGGTAAAGTAAGAAAATATTTTCAAAAATTGTTACTACAAATAAAAAACTTGTATGACTGGTAAATTTCTATTTGTTTTTCTCATATATTCTAAAAAAATTTTGGTATTGTAAAATTTTGAGCTTAAATATTGTATCCAAATTTAAAAATCCATAAAAATAATTGTCCATAGTTAAATTTCAAATTGAATTTAATAAAAACATGCATTTAACAGTACTAGCGCTAAAAGCTATTTTCCTTATAACATTTTTGACTTGCTCATACAGAAAAAAATTTCAAAGGAAAAAAAAAATGTTTAATAAAAAAATTTTTGAATAAATGTACAATAATGTTTGAATTAAAACTTTCTGTGAAGTTTATAGAGAGAAAAAGTTTTTGTTAAAAGTCATTTTGGTCTTTATTTTCTTTTAAGAATTTTACACTAAATTGCTAATTTTCCAATGCAATATTAAAACTTAATAAAATTTTATTTATTGTTATAATTGAGTACATTTTTAAGCTGCAATTATTACCTAAATTTGGATTTTGTCCTAGGGATAAAAGATTTTTTTTTAAAGTTTATGAGTGGTCGATGATTGTTTTTTGTTTGAAATTTTTAAGAGGAATGGTTTTAGCTCAAAAGTTTGATTTGTAGGTTTATTAATATGTGAAAATATTATAGTATTTTATAATGTGACATTGTATTATGTAAAGAATAATAAATTTTGTTATGATCCATATATGACTTTTAAAATTTTATTGATGTCTTACTAATATTATTCCTTTTAACTGATCTCTTACATAGCATTTTATAGAATTATTTCTTTTGATAAGCAGGAAAAAAATAAGGGAGTTTTTCTTTGTAAATTAAATATGAACCCTATCTAAAAAAGGCAGAATTTTTTAGGCTTGTCAGTAACAATGGTAATGCAAAAAATTTGCTTAAATAACAAAAATCTAAATAACCCATAAAATGAAAGTAGTATGTTACTTGGCAGTGGTCCAACGTGTGAAATTCAAAGTTTAGGTTATAAGGTGACTAAAATAAAGGTTTAGTCAGTTTCACTTCTTGTTGGCAACTAAAAAAACTGACTTTTATCTTCAATATTTGAGTTTGTCAAAACATAAATGAAAATTACTTTTACCAACTGAAATGAGAAATTTTATGCAAATTTCAATGTGTAACTTATAGGGAAAATGAAGGAAAAAGTGCTCAAGTATAGGTAGTACTTGTGAATCAAATTTTAAATTTTTGTTTATTAAAATAATTGTTGCTAAAAAGTTAATTGTTGCTTTATAACTTATTATTTGTTTTTGTTTATAGGTTCTCCTCAGAAAAGATGGTAATTATCAGTTCATTGTCTTATATTCTATTATTTTTACTTAATGGTAAAGTATTTTCACTGTATCCTATTTTAAAAATTGTGCACAAGCTGATTAGAGAAATATTTATTTTAAATCTTAAATTTTTAATACAGTTGAACTCGAACTATCTGAACCTCTTTCATCTTATTTTATTTATCAAATGCCAGTCCGTTAGGCTTCAACGCTTTCCAGTACTTCTGTACTGGACTAGAAAAAGTGCATAGTGCAGGGCACTCCAATTACTTAATCGAAGTAGAGTCCATAACAGTGGCCCCCCTGAAAGAATTGTAGCGACCTGGTGACATTGTCATAGAATGTTAGAGTTCTTGCAGAAAGATTTTTTTTAAGAAAGTAATAAAAAATTAAAATTTATTTTTTGCAGAAATTTACACATAATATTTGAATCACGCACTTTTTGACACACTCAATTTATGCCGATAGTATCTTACATCAATGCAAAGTTTCGAATGTATTTTCGGCAGTTATTGATATTGATTTTCACATGGTTTTTAAATATCTCGATATATTTCAAAAGATAGGAAAAATTCGAATCGTGCATTTGAGTATTTACTTTTTAAGGCACTAATTCTATCAAATTTTTGGCAGCTATTGCTTTTGATTTCTCTATACTTTTTAAATCCGATATTTTACAACAACCTAATCTCGAAATGAATCACTTATTTGAGGAGTCTGATTCGAGTGAGTTCCATGTCAATCTTTTTTTCGGCAATTACAACTACGGAATTCATGATTTTTACATTTTTAATTGTGCTGATTATTTACAAAATGCCAAGAAGGAAATAATTAGCTCGTTTCCCCACCCCCAACAAAAATACAGGAATATCACCCATAATATTAGAATAAAAAATTATTACATGTTCAATTAACAACAATTATATATATATATGTACATCGCTTTTAATATTTAAAATTAGTAACATATATGTCTGTTATTATTAAAAGTATCTTGAAGGAAGATATTAGTGCGAAGGAGTTTTGTCACAGAAACCCTAAAAAATTCTACCACAGGGGCAGTGACGTGTGGATTCCTGATACAAATTCCTTGATTATAGGCCTTTTAAAAGAGAAGGTTATAATTAAGGACCAGAAGTCATTTTTGCAATTTCAAACTCTTTTAAGATATTTGTATAGATCAGGGTATACTTTGAGGTATTCATAGATTTCATTGCAGTGCATTTTTTTGAAATTTTTAGAAGCACTTGCTTATTCATACAACTTTCATGTTTTTTTGGTAAACGTTGACGACCTAGATATAGTAAATCTCTTATTAATTTGCGAATTATTTGACGAATTGTTAAATATTGTATGGCCAAATAGTTAATACAACACAGCAATGTACTTCACTGCAAGTATTGTATGAAACTCTAATGAAAATAACAACTCAATTTCTCTAACTACACATGTTTTAATACTATCATGTTATATTTTGGGAAAAAACGTTTAAAATTCTTCTTTGATTACCAGGTAATTCTTTTTTGTTTAGAATCATGTTTTGATATTATAAATAGAATTTTTTTTAAGAGTATTTTTTCTGATTTATTTGTTTTGAATTTTAGACCCACATTTTTTTTAATTATTTTTATGTGTGTAGAAATTATTCCTTTTGTAAAAATGTATTTTCAATATAATATTCTTGAATTTTATAAAACATGCTTAAATTTTATTAATCCCAAGAATCTGAAGCGGTAAGATATTATTACCTGATTGAAAACTTTATTTGAAATATACAAATATGAAAAAGCAGTCGATGCGTTTCCTATATTTTAAAAATAGGTGCCCATTTTCAAGACTTGCTAGACATGAATGCAAAGAAACAAAAAGGCTTTGAAATAAAAAAATTTAAAAGTTGCCAATAAAAAATGGAAAGATAAAAATGCGAAACAAAACTATAAAAGTAGAGCCGTTTTTTCGCATTTGTATTTTGTTTCAGTGAATGAAGCTTTCAGTCAGATTATTAAGCCTTATTATTATTATATGTGTCCTCAAATCACATTTTATTCTTCATAAGACAGTTTGTTTAAGCCAAATATGTACCTTTTTTTAAATATTATTTTTTAATAAAACAAGAACTAGTAATCTATGACAGGGCTGCAACTCCACAGAGAACAGGGAATTTAATATTCACCTAAAATGGAAAAAAATATGAGGAATTTTGTTTTGTTTCTTTCTGTCAAAACTGGGAAAATGCAGGGAATTTTGTTCCTTATTTTTGTTATTCGAAAAATGGTAACCACTTAAAGTGCAATCTATGGGATATGTCAGCTTTACTAAACTATTTCATTTTAGAATAACTTGTTTTAAGTATGTTCCTTTTTTCCTTCAGTTTTTTCAGCAATTAAAACTGGTTTACATAGTTAGCCTAATATAGGTCACTCAAGATCATAGTGATTTTGTTGTTTCCTCGTAATATATTGTGTATAATATGTGCAATGAAAACACAGGGTATTTTTTTTCTTCCAGATTTGAGTGGGAACCCTGTATGATAAGAGTTTTTTAATCAATTGTTGTCGATCATATGACTGGGGCTGTTTCCCCTTCACTCCTCTGTCTGCACACTACTAGTCAAAATTGTTTTTTTCCCTCTAGGAAATTTATCATTTTATGTGATTAACAAATAACTACTTTCTCTGTGTTTGCCTTAATTTTTCTAGTTAAATCTGAAAACTGTAATTTTTATTATTACCAGTGTAATTTAGTTTGACGATCATGATTCCTGTTAATAAGAAGTATTTATGTTGTCTTTTTTTTTTTTTAAAGATTTAGTTCAATAAACTGTTAATTTTTAGTATATTTATTTTAAGTGAGTTGTTCATTTTTTATTATTATTATTTCACTTTTAAATTATAAAGTGTGTTTTTTCAGAACCATGTTGAAATAAGAATAAATACAGAAACAGAAGATAAAGGTAATTCACTTTTAAACTTTATTTTGTCATTGTCACAAGTTTTTTGTCATGTAATGTTTAACTTTTAAATTTTTTTACACAAGATTTTGTTTAAAGTTTTATATTATACAAAAATAAATTAAAATAATTTTGTTTTACTTAGACTGCTAATACAAGTATAATTTTATATGAAATTATTTAATAATGTTTCTGGAATGTTTTGATTTCTGATATTTTTGCTTTTTATAGTTTTGATTTTATCTCCTTATTTATGGGTGAAGATTTTGTTTTTAATAAAAAAAAGGCAACATTTAAATGTTATTTGAAATTCTTTGATCGGAGTTGTGAGCTTAGTATCGCGGGAGTTAGCATTTTGTGCATTGAACCTCAGGTTAGAGGAAACATTTCTGAAAGAATCAGAAATTTGAACAAAATTAAGAAAGATATTAAAATGGCCTCTCCACATGAAGAGCCAAAACAATTCTGAAGCAGGAGTGAGGAGTGGCTTTGCGGTTGCGTCATGTAAGGGTTGCCACTCCAAAGGGAAAACCTGGAAAATACAGGGAATTTAAAAATCACCTAAAATAACAGGGAAAATATAGGAAATTTTGATTTTTTTTCCCTTACAAACTTGGAAAATACAGGGAATTTTGTTTCTTATTTTCGTCTTTTAAAGATTGGTGACCTCTCAAAGCTTAATCTATGGATATTTGAGGATGATATTTCAGCTAAACTAAACTATTTCATTTATTATAGCATTATTTAAGTATGTTTAGCTTTTCTTTTTCTCAGCAATTAAAACTATTAAATATAGTTAGCCCAATATAGCTCTCACAGTAATTGTTTCCTCTTAATATATTGTGTATAATATATACAGGCAAAACGCAATTTTTTTTCAAAATTTGAGGTCTGATATATTAAATAATAAAGTGTTAAAAAATCTCTAACTTCAGTTTGCTTTTAAAACTTAGTTAAATATACTCTAATTCAGTTTTCTTGCGAAACAAAATTTTCAAAGTAGTATATATATATATATTTTCCTCTTTGTGTTTCTTTTTTATATAGTCACCAAAAATATAGTAGAATATTATAAAAAAATAGACTGAATTTTTTTGTAAAATTTCGTCCTAATTTTTATTTTTCACATTCATAATATTTTATGTTCTGATAGACAAATCAGAGAATTTCAAATAAGAAAGTTGCATATGAAGAATTATCTTTGATTATTTTGTTAGAACTGAAATTTAAAAAAAAAAAAACCTGCATCCAGGAGAAGTTAAGATGTAATTTGATACTCAGGATTATTCTGATTCTTTAGGTTATTGGCAAAAAAAATTTTTTTTAATGCATCTTTATTTAAAGTTTGATTTTAATTTTGTGTACATAAATTTGTTATGATGGTATTTATTTCTTGCACCGGAGAATCGGGCATCCCAGGGGACTCGTAATTTATCACTTTTTTGCGCCCCTGTGTGATTTTCGGTATTTTTGATGGGTTGTAGCTCCTAAACAGAATAATGCACCTCCAAGCACCAAAAACAGTTCAATTAATATTATAAATATATAAGGAATTTATGATTTAAAAATTCCAAATGCTTGAATTGTGTTTCTAAAAATGGTTTTGATCAATGTGTAGATAAAGAGGATGAAGTTGGAGAGGATGAAGAAGGAATGGATGAAGAAGATGAATGTGAAGAAGTTGAATCTGCAATTGGTTCCCAAGGTGCCAGACCACGCAGGCAATCAGAAATAGACGCAATGCCCAACAAAATTGCCCCCATTCCAAACTACAGTGCATTCTTTATTTTTTCTCCTACTAATAGGTATTCTTTTCAACTTCGTACTGTATTATGATTTAGAATATATGACATAAGGATTCCTCCATGCTGAATTTATTTTTATTTTTAAATTATTTTTTATTCAGATAAGTAAGTCATAATCTTGTCTTGGATTTTAAATATTTATCATTTTTAATACTGCATATAAAAAAAGCATATCACTTAAAAGTGCATTTATGGCATTGAATCAGAATGATAGTTGGCCAGACAGCAGAATGTGGGCCAATGGCTTCCTCTAAAGATTTCTCCATAACAACTCTCTATTTATCTTGGATCTCTGATACTTTTCATTAATTGCAAGAAAATCAGATTCCACCGAATTAGCTTATCTCAACCTCGGCCTTCTCCGCTTTCTTGTTCCAGTGGGTCTAAAATGCGATGTCTTTTTTATTGAATAATAGGTCAGAAATTTGCATTTCCACTTGGAGCAAAAGTCATGCTACATAAAAGTGACAGTATAAAAGTATTTGGATCATACATTTAAAAAAAATTTCTTTTGAAGTGGGCAATTTAAGCATTAATTTTCAAAAGGATAGAGCGTTTGCTTTCCAATGATGTGAATCAGGTTAGATACCCAGCAATGGCTGGTACCCGGCTCGCACCGACCACAGTGCTGATGTAAAATATCCTCAGTGATAGATGGATCATGGGTTAGAATTCTCTTGCCATCAGGCTAACCGTAGAAGGTGGTTTTCCTGGTTTTCCTCTCCATGTAATGCAATTGCGGGTTAGTTCATCAAAAATCTGTAATAAGGAAAGCAAATTTCTCCCCATGCTTGATTCAGGAGTTTCCTTGTCTTCTGGATTGGGTTCAAAATTACAAGACTGCAAAGTTGAACATTAGTATTGTAAACCCAAAAATTGTAGTTGACTGTTTCAATGTCAGTTAAATTACTTTTTTTTTTTTTTAATTTCAGTTTTCGTGTCTTGTGTCATAAAATCACCAATCACAGTTATTTCACAAACTTAGTTCTTGCCTGCATCCTCATCAGCAGTGCTATGTTAGCAGCTGAAGACCCTCTCAGTTCTGACACTCCTAGAAACAAGGTATCACACATTCTTTTATCTACTCTATATTTAAGGTATTACTCATCAATAGTTTTTTTTTATTTTAATGTATACAAGGAATAATGTAGGATTATTCATATATATAGCCAAACACATTTTATAGAACTTCCAGATATAGGGAACGAAATGTTGTCCAGATATAGGGACTTGCTACACACGTATAGTGTTATTTTTTGTGGATATAATGAACCAAAAAAAAGAAAGTTGTATATTATGAACTTTTTTCTGCCTTCGACTGATTTTTTTCATTTTTTTGTAATAATTTTCAAATGTCTACTTCACAATAAATACATATACTGATTTATAAAACCATCTATATCATGGTATGTAACAACAAGCATTTTTTCTTGTTTGCTTCATTATTGGATAAAATTATTGATTTGGTTCATCATTCAACAATGCCCCAATCTTCCAGTATCTGGACAAATGCTTCAAGTGAAAGCTGATGAATTTGCTAAGATTTGGTGAGACTGCTTTTATGTGTGTGAATGGCTGGTTAGACAGGTTTAAAAAGTGGAATAACATAAATTCAAGAAAAACTATCAGAGCCGTGAATTGTTTCCATAATCTGATGTTTCATCAGCTAAAGATTAATTTTTTTTATATGCAAGACAAAAGTGTCATAGAAAATCAAAGTTAAAACATTTTTGCTACTACATATTATTTTTCAGTCATTTTTGTATTTTATTTTATTGGTCATTTATTTAAACAATGTGTAATAAAAAGGAGGAGTTTATAGAACCATCAGTTAAAGTTGTTTGCGCAACGGATATAGTGAAGTCCCGGTTATAGTGAACCGATATTTCGGTCCCTTGAAGGTTCATTATGGCGGGGTTTAACTATATATATATATATACACAGGCACATTTATGTGTGTGTATATATATACACACACATATATGTCAATCTGGTGAATTGAAGTGATTTTTGATTGAATTATTTTTTTGTGGCTTTCGAAGCAAAAGTTTTTGTTCAGCACCATATGCTTGCATCCGACTCATTGGTCGGAAAGTCTTGATTTGTTTTCTTTGAGCTTTTAATGTGGTGCTTAAAGCTTTTAAATTTTTGCAGTCAATTCACTTCCACTAATTAATCATTTAATTAATTGTAGTCAGAACTCTATTTGATGGGTAAATGCAAGCACAGTGTTTGAAATACATTCTAACTTATCTAAACCAGTTAATGCTTTTCCCAGTTTAATCTTTATAATATGAAAGTGGAAATAATCTTAAAACTCTTGATGCTTTCAGTTTTTGCTTTAATGAATTTTTTAAAATGTTGTATGTCAAACTGTTTTTTTTTTCTTCTAAATTTCAGATTCTGAATTATTTCGATATTTTCTTTACATCTGTCTTCACTATTGAAATTGCTCTTAAGGTATGTACTTTATGAGTTTCTTTTGAATATTATAAATTCTGTTTCGTATTTTATTATGCTTTTTTTATTAAAACATTTGCTGGAATGCTTTTTTTTTAATAAAAATAAATGGAAGAAATCATTTCTTAGTAGATAATGTTATAGATCATCTATATTACAAACTATATATCGTTGGCAACACGATAACTGACAACACTTAAAATGCTCTATTATTAAACTGGAAACAACTCAAAATACGTGTACGAAAATGGACCTAATTGTTTTTGAAAATGGGCATTTGATTACGTTTTCAAAACTTTTATTAATATTGTTATTTTTTAAGAATAAACCAATGATTTCAAATAAATTTGTAATGCGATTTAGTCCATTTGCATAAATCATTTTATAAAATTAGTCTTTTTTTTTTTAAAGTTATTTTTACAAGGTTGCACAAGGGTGTTTATAGTAGTGGTAGTAAATTTACGTTGTATCAATTTGTCTTCAAAACCCACTATCATAGAGTTCCAAATATGAAGACACCCTTAATATACCTAGCATACCCATACCAAGCCTGAGACTATAGTTTGTCTAAAATAAGAACTTCCCTAGCCATTCGTCTGGAACCAGGGGTGTGGAGTCTTTGTTTAGGACAGGTTTTGACTTTGGTCGGCCAGAAAAGGGTTTTTTTCTTCTGTCTATTGTATTAGCCTTAGAGTGTTGAGAAGTTACCCTCCCTGAAATGCTCCATTCTTGTTTCCATAGCAGCAGATTTCCTCAGACTTTGTGGCAGGGAGAGTTCTTAGCTTAGACAAACTATACTCCGTATTGAGTATTAGTGCTTAAATAAATAGGAAAAGTCAGTGCAATATTCCTTGTTTAGTTAAGTTTGGTCCAAATGAAAAAGAGCCGCTGTGTCCATTTTTGTAAACATGCATTTCCAGCTTAGCAAGTGAAATTCCAATTGAGACTGACAAATAGCCATTGCTGTCGTGTCACAGATTTTAATCAAAATTTTTTGAGAAAAAGAACTTGCTGAAATAATTTTTTTTTAATTTTTTACTCCAAAATGACGATGAGGAGACATTTTGAAATTAGGTTAAATTTAACAAAATGGCGTAGCTGCAGATTGTGGCTCATATGTTAAAAATGTCTTTTTTATTTGTGAAATAATTTTTGTCAGAAAGAAAATAGTCAACTGTGTCATTAAACTATTAAAAAGCTGTAATGTATATAATTTAAAATTTTTGATGAAAAAATTTTTCTGGGAGTATTTATTATAATTTTTTTGCGAATTCCAGAATTTTTTACATGTAAATCACATTTTTTTATGGCCTTAGTTTTTTCCCTCATAATGTTAAACATCAAATTTTTTAATATAGAAAAAAAACAAGGGGTGGTTTCTTTTTTCATTATAAAAATAAAAAATTGTTTTTAGCCAAAATAATTCAAGAATATATTAATACACTATAAATATAATTTAATAATACACTATAAAGTCTGAAAAATATCTCGAAAAACATGAATAAAATTACAACATATTTCAAGATAAATTAGAAATAAAAGAATAATTTATGGAAAATCAGAGGGTTGTTGCATTTTGACGAGAATAGTTTTCGTTTTGAATTTAAGATTTATACTAACTCAGTACGGATTTTTCCAGTTATTTTTCAAGGTCATTACTTAACTGCAATGGGTATTTTAATTTTGTTTAGTTTATTTTAATCTTGTTAAGTTTAAAAGCAGTTGTCAAATAAATGTCTTTTTGTAAAAACGAACTGTTTCTTAAAGTAGCTTGATTTGTTACAACAAAAACAGATTTTTAATTCCTAATTTCTTTTTCATCGCACACAGTTGAAGTAATATTTTTCGAATAGTTAATCAGCTAAAATAAATTAAGATTTTTTTTTATATATCAAATACAATGTTTTTGATATAAATCGTATTCTTAATATTGTTAAATGTCATAGAAAGAGATTAAAAGGATGTTTTTTTTTGTTGTTCTTTGTTTTGATTGTGAACAGGGATCTTTGTTATTTAACCTTAAAAAACATTGAATAGTAACTAAAACCATTTTTACCATTAAAAACCATTTGAGCTTTTTTTTTTCTTTTTTTTCCCACTACATTGAAAAGATTTTTTTACATTAAAAAGATTAAAATTTAACATTTTCCAAAAAAGAAATTGAAGAAACTTTGTTTTTGCTCCATTAAAAAATATGAAATTATTTTGGATAAAAATCACTCTTTATATTCTTTTAAACCGAACGATAAAAAACATCTTTATTGAATTTTTTATAATAAAAAATACGACTTTTTAAATTGTCCGAAAAAAATATAACTACGCGAGAATCCTTATTCTTTAAACAAGTCTTAAGTATTTTTGCTAAAAAATACTTTTTATAAATTTTTTTAATGAGAAAAAACACACCTACGATTTTTTTGTATATTAAAAAGTAAAATAATTAACATTATGAAACACTGAAAAAAAATGTAATATAAGTTGTGATTTTTCTGTAAAAAAAAAAATATATTAAATTTTAAAACTAAATGAAGTAAGAAATAAAAATGAGAAAAATCAATAAAAAAGAGAAACAAAACTCCCCTAAATATTTCAATAAAATTTTTTAAATAATTATTTATATTGTAAATAGTTTTCTTTCTGATGAAACCAAAATTATGAAATTTGACTCTTAAATTAAAAAAAAAAATAGGTAGACATTTTTAACAAATGAACCACCATCTTTAGCTAGGTGATTTTCTCAAGCTGAATAAAATTTTACAATGGCCGTCTATTTTTAGTTTGAGGCCAAAAATTTTGAAGAAAATTTAACCTTTTTTTTTTAAAGAAATTTTTTTATTAAAATCTATGACATGAAACTGAATTTTTTGAAAATTTTGAACGATTTCACTTGGAATAAGCCATATATACAGTACTCTCGATTATCCGTGCTCATTCCGGAGTCACACAAAAAATATAAAGAGAAACATTTTCAAGATTAAAAAAATTTGATTCATGAAGTTATAACACTACCCAATTTTTGGAAGTAATATTCGTTANCTTAATTCATAGTTAATAATTCAATTCCTTAATATTTAATAATTCGATTTTTTTTTAAAGAATTTTTTTTATGAAAATCTATGACATGAAACTGAATTTTTTGAAAATTTTGAACGATTTCACTTGGAATAAGCCATATATACAGTACACTCTCGATTATCCGTGCTCATTCCGGAGTCACACAAAAAATATAAAGAGAAACATTTTCGAGGTTAAAAAAATTTGATTCATGACGTTATAACACTACCCAATTTTTGGAAGCAATATTCGTTATCGGATTGCAGTATATGGAATACCAGCAGCATGGTCAAAGGTAAAATCGTCTACGTTATCATGATCTTGGAGGAAAATCATACCACTTGATGAACAATCCTCTTCAAATGTTCAAGAAAAATAAGATAACAGTATTCTCGAATAAGCAAAAGAAATCTAAGGTTTCGAAATTCTTGATGAAGAAAATTTAGAAGATTGGTTTCAAAGTGATGCATGTGAGCCTGGCTTCCAGTATTTGACTGATGAAAACATCCTTATGTTGTTAAATCAAATAGTGATGATAGTAACTGATGCAGAAGATGTAGTAAATGAATGAAATACAATTTCTCATTCTGCTGCTCTGTGGAAACTTTATTAGATTATATGGGAGGATTTGATTACAGTGACATTACTGCGGTTCGTAAAATATGTGTATCGATATATGGCGAAGACGCATTACACAAATTTTTTAATAAGGAAAATTCCTAATTTGATGTTATGCATGCAAATGTCAGTAATTTTTATATTTTTTGTACTGATATTGAATTTTTCTTTAATAAAAGAAGTTTTCGGATTATCCGTGTTTTTGCGATTGTCCGTGCGACCTGTCCCGGTGATTAACCCGGATAATCGGGAGTGCACTGTATATATATATAATGTTTATGTACTGCAGTAATTTTGATAATAGATTAATCTCTTTACAATTTGGATATTTTTTAAAAACTTTAAACTCAGTTAACTAACTTTTCATCAATATCTGTAGCTATTAGAACAATTATAAACACTGCTCTCTGTAATGCTGTCACTGATTGACAACCTGAATTACTAACTTCAGATTAATTTTTTGAAATTAGCAGAAAAATAGCCAAATTTCGTATGCTTGTTGTTTTTCTGATTTTTGGAAGACAGGGAGATTAGATTGTGTTTATATATAGTATATATCTATAAAGCTTCAATTAATCTTTTTGTTATTCTTTTTCTCTAAATCTTTTTCTTAATTTATTATTCAAAATGAAACTCTTTCTCACACTTTAATATTCCCATCCTGTCTTTTAATCTATTTATAGTTCAAGTATGCATTAATTAACATCCCTGTAACTAAGCGTGAAAAAGCTAAATTTCCATAGACCTATTTAACAGACCAATTATAATTATTAAGATTCCCCTTATTCCCTAAAACAAAACATTTTAGGGATTTACTTTGATTACTAGGGATTACTAATTTCCCCAACTTTTATCGAAGAGCACAATCATTTTGTGTCACTTGGATATTCATTCTCTCATTATGATGAGTAAATAAATTTAATTTACTCTTTTTAAAATCCTGTACCTGTTTGTCCTGCTGATGCGACTTCTACCATCATACATGCTGTATTTATAATCACATTTTGCCCTTGAGCTGCAGGTTGTGAATCTCCTAGCTAAAAGAAGAATCTCTTATAATTTTTCTCCTTTGCACAAAAATATACAGCATAATAAATAAGCACAAAAAGAAGAAAAACTAAGAAAATTAAAAAAAATAAGTTTTATTTACTGTGCATAACCTGCAAGTAAATAGAACTCATAAAATAAATTCAAAAAGAGAAAACATGGAAAAATTATCAAAGCAATGAAAAAAGAAAAAATTAGATATTAAAAAAAAAAAAATCCGAATTACAAAAAAAAAATCTGGAAAATAAAAGATAATCTTTTCAACCCCTCAATCGTGTGAGCTGATGAAAAGATTCTTTTATTTTCCGGATTTCTGTTAAATTTTTTTCTTCAGATTTTTTTATTTTTATTATTTTTCTTTTTCCCTTTTTCATTTTTCTGTAATTTTTTCCATGTTTTCTTTACTTTTTGAACTTATTTTCTGAGTTCTATTTACGTGCAGGTTTTGCACAGCAAATAAAACTTATTGTTTTTCTTAATTTTATTAGTTTTTATAAATATATATATGTGTGTGTATGTATGTATCAAATGAAAAACTTGTTACTTAGTTTTTTGATTTGTTTCTTAGGTCATAACCAATGGTCTTATTCTTCACCCTGGTTCATTTTGCCGAAGTGCTTTCAATCTGCTGGATATTCTTGTAGTTTGTGTATCTCTCATATCATTTGGGTTTGAGTGAGTATCTATAACTAAGAAAGGTCAATTTTATTGGTCAATAATCACAGGGTTATTAATCCTTGTGGCAGAATTTTTCCGGACTTTCTGCAACATACCTCTTTAATACTAATCTCTTTCTGCAAGATACTTTTGAATACAACAAATATACATGTTTCTAGCTTAAAGTAACAGAATCGTCAACTTAAAAAAAAAAAAAAATTTTTAATTGAATATGTAATACTCTTTTTATTCTAATATTATGGGCATTACTCTTGCCTTTTGTTGGGGGAAAACACACTAATTATTTCTTTTTTCACATTTTGAAAATCATTGCATTAAAAAAAAAATAATAAAAAAACTGTTAAATTCGTAGCAGTAACTAGTGAAGTAAAACATTGACGGCGAACTTACTCTACTCTTAAAAATTACTCTTTAAAAAGGAGTTACTAAATGCAGGTTTTCATTTTGAAATTCAGTTGCTTTAATAAGTAATATCGTATTAATAGCTATATGGAAATTAATAGTAATAACTGCATAAAAGAACAAATCTTGCAGAAGAGTAAACCAAATTTTTTACTTCATTATTCTTTATTTTTCATGATTAATAAAAAAAATCACAAGCATTTATTTTCCACTCTGATGCGCAAGAAAGGTATCTTTAATATAAATCTGAACAAAAGATAAATCTTTCGAAAATTTCTGCAGAAAAGAAAACCAAAATATTTTACTTCTCAGAGGAAAAATCTTTCTGCAAAAACTCTGTAACGTTCTGTGACAATGTCGCCACGCTTCTGCCACATGATTATTAATAATCATTGGTTTATGATTAATAGATAGATTTATTTCTTTTATCATAAGCTTTTTTGAATTTTATACAATTTATTGAATCTGCTTTTGTGGAGGGATATTAAAACTTATGAGCTCTAGATTCCAAACATTTTCATTTATTAATAAATATAATCTATATATAAAAAAACTTGAACTGTTAAAGCTATTATTTTAAATTAAACAGTCTGTAGTAATTATATAATTTTATGAATGACGAGCTCGGGCTCTTTTAGGATGACAGGCTCAAGTTCTTTCAAACTGTCCAATTACCTACATCTGAATTGTTTGTTAAGTGTCCCTTGGTTGGATCTTAAAAAATACCATTCCATTTCCACCACACTGCACAGGGCTCCCACAGGTCAGGGAGAACAGGGAAAATCTGGAAATGTCAGAGAATTTTTATTTTGATTCTTAAAAGTAGGGAATAGTCAGGGAAAAATTATAATGCAAAATTCCTACATCATTCAGGGAAAATAAACTTTATCAGAATTGTCCGTAACAGTAATCAGTAATTAAGGTTCAAGTTAAATTAATCTAACATTTATTACAATTTGTTATAAAACTTTCACATTTTAGTGAAATTTCCATGCATCTGTCCTCATTCAATGTTTTTTCTTTGCTCACAAAATCTAATATTTGACATTAGAAATCAAAAATCAAAGTTGTGTCATGAAAAATTGCAAGGTATAGATAAAANTCTTAAAAAATACCAATCCATTTCCACCACACTGCACAGGGCTCCCACAGGTCAGGGAGAACAGGAAATGTCGGAAAATTTTTATTTTGATTCTTAAAAGTAGGGAATAGTCAGGGAAAATTGCAATTTTAAAAAAAATTATAATGCAAAATTCCTACATCATTCATGGAAAATAATCATTATCAGAATTGTCCGTAACAGTAATCAGTAATTAAGGTTCAAGTTAAATTAATCTAACATTTATTACAATTTGTTATAAAACTTTCACATTTTAGTGAAATTTCCATGCATCTGTCCTCATTCAATGTTTTTTCTTTGCTCACAAAATCTAATATTTGACATTAGAAATCAAAAATCAAAGTTGTGTCATGAAAAATTGCAAGGTATAGATAAAATAGGGTTTTGATTTTCATTGAAATTTTCTTGATATACCTGGAAAAGTTAGGGAATTTTTTTTCCTGAAGTTGAGTGGGAATTCTAACTGAGAGCATAACTTTTTGATGAAGTGGCGATAAATGGATGATAAACCGAAGACCTCTTGATCTTTTTGTAATGGCTAATATAATCAGGAAAAGACTTCTTTGTCAGAAACAGATTATTTTATCCTTCCTTCCTCAATGGCACGACAGCCCCGGGTGGGCCCTGGCCTTCTCAATCAACTTCCTCCAGGCCTGCCTCCGCCTGGCAGTTGTCTTCCAGTTTGAGACTTTTAAGACTGAAAAGTCTCTTTCCACGCAGTCGGCCCATCTCAGCTTTGGTCGACCTCTGGGCCTTGATGCGATGGGCTGAGCCAAAAAGATTATGTTTGTCGAACGCTCTCTGTTCATTCGAATGATGTGCCCAGCCCATTTAATTCTTTGGATTTTTACATACTTGACAACATCAGGGTCTCTAAAAGCCTGATAGAGTTCTGAGTTTGAACGTCTGTACCAAGTACCATCAACTTGTTTGCCCCCATAAATGGATCTTAGGATCCGACGTTCGAAGATTCCCAAGGAATTCTCATCTTTCTGTGTTGTTGTCCAAGTTTCTGAGGCATATGTTAGGATAGGTCTGATTAAGCATTTATAAATTAACAGTTTAGTGTCTCCTTTTAGTAGGTTTGATTTTAAATATTTTTTTAATCCATAAAAACATTTACTTGCACTATTGATTCTTCTTTGTATTTCGGGTGCGATATTGCTATTAACATTGACTTCAGAACCAAGATAAAAAAAAGCTGTTTACTTTTTCAAACTTGTATTCACCAATTTGCAAGTGAGTTGTAGAATCAGTTATTTTGGTGCATTGCATATACTTGGTTTTCTCCTGGTTAATAGTGAGATAAATTTTTTCTGCCTCTTTTTCCATGGATAGAAAAGCTTGCTTTAAGTCAGATTGTGTTCGCGCTATGATGTCAATGTCATCGGCAAATGCGAAAATTTGTACAGACTTATGAAAGATATGTCCTCTGGTATTGATTCCTGAATCTCCGATAATTTTTTCTAATGCCAAATTGAAGAGTAGGCATGCCAATGCATCGCCTTGCCTTACACCAATTTTTACCTCCATTGGTTCCGAGAAGTCATTTTGGATTTTAACTTTCTGCATGGTCTTACACAGTGTAAGTGTGGTGAGTCGTACAAGCTTGTCCGGGATATTGAATTCTCGCATAGCTTCAACGAGTCGCTTCCGGTTTACACTGTCGTAAGCAGTTTTGAAATTCACAAATAGGTGGTGGGTACCAATTCCAAATTACCTGGTCTTTTCCAGAATCTGTCTTATGCAAAATATTTGGTCAGTTGTAGACCTGCCCTTCCTAAAACCGCACTGGTATTCACCAATGATGTTTTCTACATAGGGGCTAAGTCTGTTAAATAGAATTTTTGAAAAGACTTTATATGCAGTACATTAAGTAGGTTGTCGAAGTGTTCATTCCACCTATTAAGAATGTCAGTTTTATCACTTAAAATATCTCCATCTTTATTTCTGCAAAGGTTAGTTCTAGGTTTGAACTCCTGACGACCAAAGTTAATGCCACGAGAGAAAGCTCTGCTCTCATTAGACCCTCGGAGATGTTCGACATCCTTAAAGAAGTCTTCGTGAAAAACCTTTTTATTATTTTATCATGATAATGTAAATTCTTTGAAAGTTATTTTGCATTTTATTAATGTTTATAGTGCTTAAAAATATTTTTTGAGTGTTTAAAGCGTTCTTAAAAAGGTGCTAATTTTTTGTTGAAAGGTTTGGCTATGCACCCTGAAAAAGGGGCTATTACGTTTCACGAGCATATTGCAGGTGTCTTAATTGAACTTCTTTGAGCTCATAACGAATCCAAATTTCAAACTTGTTTAGATATTCCAGTCTTCTTTCGAATTAAAATTACCATCTCTGAATTTTTTGAACCAATTTTGAGATTCTTGTAGAACATCATCACTTTATCCAATTTTTCACAAGCTTTTTTCTCTTCACAGAAGTAAAATTGGATGAAAAGGAGCATGCTCTCAACATGCATCATGTTCAACATGTTCTCAAATCTCCAAAACTTAGCAAAGTATCTCAATTTGTTCGTTACAATAAATTTTAAACTGTCAGCTATCAATGATTTAAAACTACTTTTGCGGCACTACCATCTTTTTTTTTAAAAAAAATGCAGTGACTTTCTACTCTACCCTATATGTATATATCAGGGGTCTGTCTAGATTTTTTTTAAGCGGTACCTATTTCGTGAAAATTTAGGCATAATTTATAAAATTTAAAAATTATGTTTACAAATCAACACAAAAATAGGGTAAAATAAGAAAATATTTTCCAAAATTCTCACTACAAATAAAAGATATTTATGACTGGTAAATTTCTATATATTTTTTCCCATATGTTCAAAAACAATTTTTCTATTGTAAATTTTTGGCCTCAAAATTGTATCCAAATTTAAAAATCCATAAAAATCATTGTCTATAATTAAATTTCAAACTGAGAAAAAAATGTCTCATAAAAAAATAAAGGTCTATTAGAATAAATTTTGCAATAATGTTAAAAATAACAGTTCAAGCTTTGCCTTCCTGTCAAATATACAGAGGGACAGCCTCCTCATTTAATTTTACAAAACTCTGCAGAAGAAAAAAATTGCTGTAATATGGCGGTAAGCGACCGGTTAGGCTTACCACTCTGTACTATCTGACCAAACAAATTTTAATAGGTGGAAGTGTGTGTGGAATTTTAGAACTTGCTTTTTTAAAAGTATTTTGTGAAACTATAGTTTTTCCTTAAGTTGAATTTATGAAGATAATACTAAACTGTAGTAAATTTGCCCTAGACAGACCCCTTTAATTAATGTGTATATGTATATATCAGGGTTTCCGCTACTGTAGCTTTTTTCGCAAAATGCGAAAAGACCCCTCAAAAATGCTAAAATTCAACAAAGCATTTTCGCATTTTTGCTAAAGGATTTTACTAAATTCCATTAAAAAAAAGCATAGTAGAAGATTAATATTGAGGGCCCTGAAAGTGCATTTAACTTTCAAGAAGCATTTGTAAAATGGGCAAACATGAAAGAAAGGAAGATTGTTAATTATAAACCAAAATGTTTTGATAAATAATAAATGTGTTTTTTTTTTGTTATAGGTATTCTTTTTGATATTCTTGTACATTAAGCTATTCTTTGTCAGATAACTTACAGTACTTGTTTGATATAAAGTAATTTTATAAGCCTAATGGCATTTTAGCATTTTGCTAAAACTTTTTTTCAGATTTTAGCTTTTTTGCTATTGAATTTTTAGACTCAGCTTAAACCCTGGTATGTATGCATGTATGTATATATCTATACATATATGTATATGCGTTTGTGTGTGTGTATTTATATATCAAAGATTTATAAGACTGCCTTTTTTTCTTTTGCGATATAATCTAATTTGTTTATTAATTTGCTGTACTTTACCTAAAACTGTTCATTAAACTTATTCAACGTATTGATAAGTTCTACCTCTACTCACCAAAATCAAAATTATTACTTCTGCTTCAGTATTATGAGTCAAAATCTATTAAATCGAAATTATTTCTTCTGCTTCAAAATTATTTCTTCTGAGTATTCTGCTTATTGAATGTTTTGTTGTTCAAATAATAAATGTTTTTTTTTTCTTCCAGCAATGGTGCTATTTCAGTTGTTAAAATTCTTCGAGTCCTAAGAGTATTACGTCCTCTCAGAGCCATTAATCGTGCCAAAGGTCTAAAAGTGAGTTTTCGTTGTTATTTTGTGTATATTTATGATTGTATATTTTGTGTATATTTATGATTGTATATTTTATGTATCTTGTGATTATCTTGTACATATCCAAGACTTTCAAATTCTTGTTCCATAATTTTTTCTTAAATATCCTTTTTTGGCGAAAGATAATTCCACGTTGCTTATTTTATTTTATAACAGTCATTGAAAAGCAGACCCAATTTTTAACTACTAATGTTCAACTCCATAACCTTGTAATTTTGATCACAATCCAGAAGATAAGGGAACTCCTGGACCAAGAATTGGGAGAAATGTTTGCATTTGTGGAGGACTTTTTGATGGAACCAACACCCATTTGCATTACATGGAGAAGAATATCACGAAAACCTCCCACGGTTAGCCCGACTGAAAGGGATTCTAACCCATGCTCTGTCTACAACTAAGGATAATTTTTAGTCAGCACTGCGGTCGGTGCAAGCTAGGTGCGGAATTCATATAGACCAGCCGTCACTGGGATTGGAACCCATTTCACTTCATTGGAAGGTGAACGCTCTACCCCCTGAGCCACCACGACTCCCCACGTAGCTTATGAGATATTTCTATATGTTGTGCTGTTATCTAGTTAGAATTTCATAAACGCATAAAATCTTGAAGAAATGCTAAAATATAACTTGATGTAAAAATTTAGGCAAAAATAAGGTTTATCCACTCTATTGTTCCTTCTAATATATATGTGTGTATATTTGTACATGTATGTATATGTTTGTGAAGGGCAATACAATAAATCAAAATTTCAATTCATAAATATTGGTATGAACTTTAAGATACAAAGTTTATTGGTATAAACTTAAAGAAGGTAGGTCACATTATAAGTATTGAGAACTGCATTGCAACCCTATTATGTACTTTCTCTTCGTGAGCCTTTTAACTTGTACATTTTTTATTTAAATTATTATAATTAATAGTAATAATTATCAAAAAATTACATTGAAAAAAGGTTAAAAAAAACTTTTTTTTATCATAATCAACATAAGATGCTGTAGAAGAAAATAAATTAAAATAAAAACTATTCTTTCTTACAGCATGTGGTTCAATGTGTCATCGTTGCTGTTAAAACTATTGGAAATATCATGTTAGTTACATTTTTGCTCAACTTCATGTTCGGCGTAATTGGAGTCCAGTTGTTTAAGGTAAGCAAAGCATGATCCATGTTGGACAATTTATGTATTATCTGTCCACAAACAGTATGATTCATTTATTAAAATTAATTATTAAAATGTTAATTTTATTTATGGTTCATTTGTTTAAGTTAATTATGAAGTTATAAGAATTAAAGTAGATCACGAGCTTTCAATGCTATTTTTTCTATCTTTTGAGTTCAATAAAATTTTTCAAGAAAAAAGCCTATTAAATGAAGGAAAGCTTATTTTTACTCAAACAAACATGCGTCTTTTTTTTAAAAAAAAGTTATTTAAAATTAGTAATAGAATTCCCATCAAATACAATTGCCATAGAAAATTTTTAATATCAAAATTGTGTTTTCTTAAATTATTGGTTTCAAACTCTATTATAATTTTCAGTAGTTCACTCGGTGTTGTCACTTTCTCATAGTTAAATCAATCATTGTTTTTGTTTCTGAAAGAATTTTTTTTTACTTTGTTAAATATTTATTTGAAAATTTTTTAAATTTGTTTCTTACATATGTCTGTTTTTACAGATAGAATTCCTTTAACTCTTGAATAATTTTTTTCCAGGGCAAGTTTTATTCTTGTAATGATGGTTCGAAATTGTTTCAAAAAGATTGTCAGTAAGTAAAAAAAAATTTCTTATATGTTATTCCCAGTTTTTTTTTTCCAAAATTTTTGTCGAAAAAAAAGAGAGATCTAAAATAAACTGACTCTAACATGAACGAAATGAAATAAATTAATCATCTTTAATGACTTATCTTGTTATTGTATTTTTTAATATCAAAATGAAATATTTATAATATATGGCATAATCTTAATGATCTCTAAAATATGCTATCACATTTTTTTAAAAGTTACTTGGAAATCTTAATTATTTAAGGCTTAATCTGAATGGTTTCGAAAATATGCTATGACAATCAGTTTAAAAATTAAAATCATATTTGTACTTCTTCAGAATTTTTTCTTTCTTTGTGGATTTGAAATTTAGACTCTAGAAGATCCAGGCGTTTTTATACTTATTTTAAAGTTAATTTTGCATTTTGGCCATTTTTTTTAAATAATTTATTATCTAAATTATAAATATCCTGTATTGTAAACTCATTTACCCAACTATAACTTAATGTAAAATAACATTTTGTTCGTGCCACCTGTAGTTTACAGTGCCAGTTAAACAACTCTTGAAAAGTGCGTTTTTTTAACATTTGGCACAGTACAGTCAATTCCAATTTTATGTTTCTTACAAAGGGAAATGTGACTTCTGATAATATAGATTTGATAAAAAGAAATTTAATTAACTAAGTCATAATCGATTGCTTCTAAAGAATGGGTCCATTGATAAATCATAAAAGTTTGTTCATATTTACTATATTATAACTTGACTACTTTATTTTTTTATTTGTTTCTGTACAGCAGAAAAGAAATTAGTTACTAAATTATCAATTGAATGCTTTATCATTTTTTTATGTGTTTGTACAGCACAAAAGAAATTAATTAATTTACTTTGACTGTCTTATTGTCTCTGTTGTGTTGTTGTTCTTCGGATGAGACTTGTCGCCTGAAAATCATTGTACTTTGCATCCCTGCTTTTAAATAAAGTTTACATTTTTGCTCTATTATAACTCACCACTAATTTTCAGTTGTCTTTGGAATGTTAAACAAAATTAAGAAAAACTTTTATGAGTGACGAAAATATTGCTTACTTAAACTGTGGTATGGTTGTTAAAAATGAACTTTGCTTCAATGGACTATCAACCTAATATTTTTTATTTGTCTGTTAAATCGAGGTTCTGCTTAAATCAGGGCTTATTATCAGCAACTTATATAATAAGTAACTTGATCCCTCCTTATTGCAGTTTTATCTTTTTGTATTTTTTTTCACTGTGACAGACTCTTGCATCTGCAATGCATGAAGACCAATGATGTAGAATCAAGTGCTTTCACAATAAAAAAATTCTTTGATAAATAAACTTTTTAATTATGTGGAAAACTATTTTGAATCGAGATTCAAAACTCCAATTCACTTTGAAACATACGCAAAACTAAAATTAAGATAAAGGGGTCCAAACTTTCAATTGCTCTCTTGACCATTTGAACTCTGGTTTCTATTTTTTTTAAGGGTCAAGAATACAAACTGCTCTAGAGGAGGTATGATTTTGTAACTTAATATATCATCGATCTCTAATTAATTGGTATATTTAAATTAAGAAATCTGATCACGCATCGTCCAATCATGGCTAAGTAAGCATCCATTTTAACACTCCACCTTTTCACAGCCATGCAATGCCACGTAATTTTAACCTCGGTAAAATGACGTGCTCTTTAATTGTTTTCTCACTACCCTATGGTCATCCCCCTGCAAAGTATCTTTATTTTGCTTTAATGTGCACAGTTTAAATAAGATGTGTGTTGGTATTGTAGGGGAGAGTACATCATCTATCAAGGGGGTGATATAACGAAACCCATCGTACAAGAGAGAGAGTGGGATAGGTACAAGTTCAACTTTGATGATGTTGCTAAAGCTATGCTCACACTCTTCACTGTGTCCACTTTTGAAGGATGGCCCCAGTAAGTAAATATTTTTCGATCTCTTTTTAACATAAGCATAATAAATGCTACAATATGCAAGTGACATTTAGTTTTTATACACTATCATCTGTCCAAAAGTATGAGGACATCCAGTGGGGTATGGAGTTAGAGGAACATATTAATAGGATCCTCCCTTTTACATCCATGACAGCCTTCTGGGAAGACTTTACACCAGTAATTGATGGGAACTTCCATCACAGCTGTGATTCCAGTGAGGATTTCGCTGGATACGTAATCTGTGCTCTTATTTGTTATAAAGGTGTTCTATGGGATCTGAGATGGTCAGTCTAGTTTTTGAACACCCTTTTCGTCAAACCACGTCAGTGCGAGCCTCGCTGTGTGGATGCTGGAAGCGAAATGGGCCGGAAATATTGCAGTGTGAAATTTACACGTCTCAGAGTTCATGTTTCCAACCACAGGAGCTAACACACCCCACACCATTATACTTCCACCACCATAATCAACCGGATGTCCGGATACTTTTGGCCAGATCCAGATAGTGTATTTAAATCAGTGTTCGAAACGAAGGGTGGTCTGAGACCATGATCTTCCAATAATTAGTTTGCATTTTAATATTTTGAATTTTTTTTCAGCAGTTGAAACTTTATGGCTTAGTCTAGGTTTGCCTAAACTTAGTTTTCTTTCTTTTAAGTTTTAAATTAGTAATAGAGGTAAAAAAGAATTCATGAGGAAAAGTTTCTCCCCTGGTATGACTTCCTCTTAAGATCCTGATTAGGAATAATGTCTCGGTGATATGGCATCGCATGGGCCATCTTCAAGTTATTGACGTCAGATTAAAATCTTTTTGTTTTAAATTTTTTGATGTAAATTTTTTTAATTCTTATAAAAAGATATGTGATGATTCATTCTTTTATTGTGGTAATATTCTTTAATATAAATCTTTGAAATGTGAATTCAGCCAAACTATCTCTTTAAATTCCTGTTTTGGTACACCAGCTTAATATTAAATAAATTGCTTGATGTTTAATAATAGCCTACTTTTATTGAGAATTTTTTTTGTATATCTTTTATTCAATTATTCTTTTCATTTTTTTCGTATGTTTTCAAACATCAAATTCAGTAATACACGCATCTCACGTTATTTAATTTTGGTTTATCATAATTTCTGATAATACTTACGAACTGTCTTGCATGATATGAGGCTGGGTGTGTAGCGTTTTTAAAAAGTACTTAAAGGTGCTTATTTTTTAATTTTGCGTTTTTTAAAAACTTTTCACAATTTTCTCTGCAATATTTATCAAAAACTAGTTATTTTATCATGATTATGTAAAGTTTTTGAAAATTTTATTGAATTTTATTGATTTTATGTTTATAAATTAAGAACTTTAAAGGATAGAAAAAAATAATTTTTATTAATGCACAGATTCTAATTCTAATTTTTTTTTTTTTGAAAGTGATTAAAAATATTTGTAGAGTACTTAAAAAGTAGAGAATATAAGTGCTTTTTTTTCTTTTATCAATAAAAATTTCTTTAAAAAAATTAATTGGATTGGATTAAGTGCCGAATTTCGGGATGCTGCATTAGGTGTCCCATACTGTATTACAGACTAATGACTGAGTTAAAAAAAATCACAATTATGTTTTTTAGGCTCAACTTGGTAATGATTGTTAAAAATCAGGAGACAGTTTTTCAACTAGATACCTAATGAAAATTAATTATTTTAGATAACAAAACCTAACTTATAAAAGGTGCTTATTTTTTGTTGAAAAATCTGGCTACACACCCTATGAAAAAATGAGATTGTATCAGTATTTGTGTAATTGGTTTTCTAAATGAATTGTCAGCCCTTAGTCTTTAGGAATGTGTTTCAAACCTGAGTGGCTTAACAGCCTCTCTGTTTAGTTACTTCAGGAGATAAGTTTTAGATAAAATAATTGTCGTGTAAAATAAATTAAAAATCAACTTTTTATTTTAACTTCAGGTTGTTGTATGTGGCCATCGATTCTAAAGCGGAAGACGAGGGGCCTTATCATAACTATCGTCCAATGGTTGCCGTATTTTTCATTATCTATATCATCATCATAGCATTCTTCATGGTGAACATCTTTGTCGGTTTTGTTATTGTCACATTTCAAAATGAGGGTGAACAAGAATATAAAAACTGCGAGTTGGATAAAAATCAGGTGATTTTTTAAAATTCTCATTGTTGAATTTTGCAAATTTCCATTTGCTTTAATTAAACTTGAATTATATAATTACTAGCTGCCTAACCAGTTGGCCGGCCTGCACGTAATCACTGCTTTGTGCCTGTCTTGGTAAAAATGTGTTAATCATCCTGATAATTACAAAATATCTAAATGAATTTTTTTTTAAATAATTTTTATGAATATTCCATAAAAAACACATGGACGGAATCTGAAACTTCTATCCTGGTAAAAATGCACTTTTTAACTTTTTGCTGTCAACTAAGCTAAGTAACACAATTATCAAAAAAAACCTCTCTTAGTTTATCTTAATATCTGATAAGGGCCAACTTAGAGATTTCTTTCTTGCTAAAAACATGTTAAAAATTTTTTTCTTAAAGAACACATGATTGAAAATTCAGCGCCTTAATGATGTGGTAATTTTAAATTGTGCTTAACATTTAAGTTAACACATTCTTGCAGTAAAAGATTTAGCCTTCTGTAAACGTTTTTTAAGTGACTAATTTTAAAAACATCTGAGATCATATGAGCATACTTAGCTATAAGTTCTGTAGAAAAATAATGGCATACTTTTAAGGTATGGAAAAATAGCTTCTTTTTCAGTACAATGTATGAATTCTTATTTATACACAAAAAATAACTTTGATTTCAATTATGATTGCTGATTTCTATTACAAATAATTCCATGCTGATGGCAGCAATTTATCCGCGAGTTACAAATGAGAGCGGAAGGAAAATTGTTGTATTATTTAATTTCATAACGGTCATTGAACAACCAATCATCCAATTTTGACTACAAATATTCCACTCTATAGCCTTGTAATTTTAAACCTAATCCAAAAGTTATGGGAACTCTTTGATCGAGTATTGAGAAAAATTTCCCTTCGTGTGGAACTTTTTGATAGAACTAAGCCTTCCATGGTTAGCCTAACCACAAGAATAACTCATGATTTGTCTCCCACTGAAAATATTATGCAATACGTTAGCATCGTGGTTGGTATGAGCCTGGTCATATCAGCTAGCCAATGCTAGGATTCAAATCTGGGATGGTTGATCGATTCAAATTCCGAATCTGGTTCGAACCAACCTCAGTGGTAGACAAATCATGGATTAGTCTTTTTGCCATTAGGCTAACCATGGGAGGTTTTAGTGGTTTTCCTCTCCATGAAACACAACTGCAGTTTTGTTGCATCAAAAAGTCCTCCATAAAAACAAATTTCTCCCAATACTAGATCCAGGAGTTCCCCTGTCTTCTGGATTGAGTTCAAAATTACAAGGTTATGGAGTTGAACATTAGCAGTTAAAAATTGTTGCAGTTGTAGTCGTAAGCCCGAAAATTGGTTCGGCTCTTCAAGAATGTTTATAAAATAAAATAAAATCACTAGTTTTTAAATTTAAATATTTATATTGTTTTAGTGATAATTTACTACGTTTCTAATTTCAGAGAAACTGCATAGAGTTTGCATTGAAGGCGAAGCCAGTACGACGCTACATTCCGAAAGCCAGGATACAGTATAAGGTTTGGTGGTTTGTGACGTCACAGTACTTTGAGTACACCATTTTTGTCTTCATCATGGTCAATACTTTTACTCTTGCTATGAAAGTGAGTGTAGATTCATTTTATATGCNTGCAATATGTTAGCATCGTGGTTGGTATGAGCAAGGTCATATCAGCTAGCCAATGCTAGGATTCAAATCTGGGATGGTTGGCCGATGCAAATTCCGAATCTGGTTCGAACCAACCTCAGTGGTAGACGAATCATGGATTAGTCTTTTTGCCATTAGGCTAACCATGGGAGGTTTTTTTGGTTTTCCTCTCCATGAAACACAACTGCAGTTTTGTTGCATCAAAAAATCCTCCATAAAAACAAATTTCTCCCAATACTAGATCCAGGAGTTCCCCTGTCTTCTGGATTGAGTTCAAAATTACAAGGCTACAATGTCAAATATTAGTAGTCGTAAGCCCGAAAATTGGTTCGGCTATTCAAGGATGGTTATAAAATAAAATAAAATCACTAGTTTTTAAATTTAAATATTTATATTGTTTTAGTGATAATTTACTACGTTTCTAATTTCAGAGAAACTGCATAGAGTTTGCATTGAAGGCGAAGCCAGTACGACGCTACATTCCGAAAGCCAGGATACAGTATAAGGTTTGGTGGTTTGTGACGTCACAGTACTTTGAGTACACCATTTTTGTCTTCATCATGGTCAATACTTTTACTCTTGCTATGAAAGTGAGTGTAGATTCATTTTATATGCTGCTTCAGGGGGCTGTAAAAAGGCTATTATTTATAAATCTCTATATTAGTATATTAAATATCTATTGCCTCAACCACTTAATATCACTGTATTCAATAATAAGACAATTGTTTTTTCAGCTCCCCAAAAAGGATTTTTACCATTTATATTTATCCAGTATATTGTGTTCATATTAATTGTCAGTATCTTTGAAACTTTTTACAAAATGATTATACAATTGTCCCTTTTGTACATCCTCCCCCCCNCTCCCCCCCCCCATTTCAGTAACTTCCATTATAATGTCACATTTATAAAGTCAAATAATATTATTATAAAGATAAATTTATAAAGTCCCATTTGTTATTTCAAAGATCCCCGTGGCAGAATGGCAGTGACATTCTCGTAGAACATTACAGAGTTTTTGCAGAAAGATTTTTCATTAGAAAAGTTTTAAAAAAAGTACTACAGAAATTTACATGTAATATTTGAATCATGCATTTAGATAATCACTTTTTGACATGCTCAATTTACGACGATACCGTCGTAAATCCATGTAAAGTTTCAGTTGTATTTTCAGCAGTTGTTGATATTGATATTCGCGTGATTTTTAAATATCTCTATATATTTCAAACAATATAGGAAATTCGAATGGTGTGTTTGAGTATTTACTTTTCAAGGCAGTAATTATATCGAATTTTCGGCAGTTGTTGCTATTGATTTCTCCATAGTTTTTAAATCTGATAGTTTTTTTATTAGATAGCAATACTATTTATTACAACAACGTAATCGAGAAACGAAACACACATTTCAGGAGCCCGATTCACATTATTTCATCGTCGATCTTTTTTTCTGCAATTACTACTACAGATTTTGTAACATTTTAATTATTTTTATTGTTATGATTATTTATGAAATGCGAAGAAGGAAGTAATTTGTGTGTCTCCCTCACAAAATGTGAGAATATTACCGATAATATTAGCATAAAAAATTATTGCTCTTTTATTTAAAAAAATTATATTGTGTTCTTTCGTAAACACAGCCCTTTTGTTATTTTAATTTATTATATTATATTTGCTATTATTAAAAGTATTTTGCAGAAAGATATTAGTGATAGAGTTTTGTCGCAGATAGCGTGAAAAAATTCTGCATCAGGGCCAAAGATACAATATCCATTAGAACCTCCAAATTTCATTCCAATATAAGGGCTGAAATTTAATCGATTAGGTTGAGTTTTATCCTAAGGTCTGTAATTTCAGGTCTTGAATAATCTCTGAAACTTTCTTCTCATTATCTGCACCATAATAAAGTCATTCATTAAACAGCTTTCATGTTATAAGACTGCACTAAATATCCTTTTGATGGAAATATGCATATTTTAGGTAATGAAAAATCATAATTATTTTTTACTTACATCTAGTTTTCTCATAAGTCTACATTTTAGCCTGATGACTTAATGTATTTTATTAGTTCTCAGTAACAATTTACAGGTAAAGAAAAGCGCTTTTATTGGTAGTGCAACTGTCGCAAATTTGGCGATCATTGTGCAACAGGCCGTACTAAAAGAGTATTTTGGCTTCACTATATGCTCCACATACCTTTATTGTTTATAGTGGATCACTTCGTTTTATCTAAGTAGTTAAAAATAGTGTTCAATTTGTTGTAATGAGTCGTCTAAAAGCTTTGGATTTACAGATCCAGAAAATGCAGATAGTTGAATATACATATTATTTTAGAAAATATACGTAGCGAAAAACATACTTTTTCAATGTTCAACGTAAATATGTCGATTAAATTATAAATTTGAAACGCATTTTTTCCTTCCTTTTTAAACATTATCATTACTGGGTAAAGGGGTGGAGGTGGCTGGATGTATTACAAATATAATTTTTCAGATGATTTCTTTATATTCAAAATTCTAAACGATAAAGTAATTTTTAAAAATTTGGAATTCTCACAAGCAGGGGTGATTGCATTCCGGATGTACCCCTGAATTTTGGTTTCTTCGTATCGTTCCTCCTGGTCTAGAAACTTGGAGCAGGCCTTGTGGCTTTTTTTGCTGAATTCCGCATATTGCAAGACCATTTATTCACGGACTTCTGCGAATCAAAACTTATAATCAGATGAAATTTACACCGCAATCTAAAATTTAAAGTAAGAATTAAGTTCCATGACTTAAATTTTGAAACCTTTGCTGAATTGCGTTAACGCGACATTTTCATACACGTGACTCTTCTGGAATTTTGATTTTATCAAACAACTATAAAAGTATAAATTTGGTGACACGGACCGCTCGTTCTACCACGTAATGTACTTCATTGAATTTATCTGACTCGACGAATATAAAATAATTAAGCATTTAAATGTATGCAATAAAGTATTTTTTTGTTCAAATAAGGGTATATGTTAGAAATGATCACTGATGTTGTTTTTAAAATATGTGAAAAATTTAATTGCTTCTAGTAAAATTTAAAACAATGACTAACGCTTGACCCATCGGAAAATTCCATTTCGTTTTCCACTCATCCCTATTTCATTAATGAATTAATATTTGAAAAAACTGTATTATCATAAAGTGTCATCCACTAAAAGTTTTAAAATATATATTTGTGCTTGAGTGGATGAATACAAAAGTATTTTATTAACCATTGAAAATTTGAACAAGATGTAGGGAGAGTGTGAACTAATAGTAGGAATTGAAAAATTAGATTAAATATGAATAGTATATAAATTGAAATCTTGTTTTCAAGTTCAAACTCCAGTTGACTTGTTTCACTTTGTATCACAATTACCCCCGCACAACGCCGTTATCACTTTTATAAATATAGGGGACCCAAGACAACTTAGAAAAAAACAACTGTTCCCAAAAAGAAAAGGAAAACCAAAAGAGAAAGAAAAGAAAAAGAAAAACACCCTTAAGAAAATTTTTTGAAAAGTAATCCAATGCTATGTTTATTTTCTTTGATATGCCTTTTTATCTTTGCCTAAATTGAAATATATAATTTTGACAATATATAATTTTGTTTTTATTTTAGCTAACTGCCTGGACAAATTATTTTAAAATTGTATTTTAACAATTAGTTATGCAAAGCATATCAACCCATTAAAACGATTTTAAATTAAAAATTACTTTTTATTGAATGATGTGTATTTTATTTTTATTTTTTTAGTTTTATGGTCAGCCTCCCATGTACACTAAAGTTTTAGATGTTTTAAATATCATCTTCACAGCTATTTTTGCATTTGAGTTTGTATTTAAGTTAGCCGCCTTTAAATTCAAGGTAAGTGCGAAAGAAATTTTTTTTCATGTCTATGCCTTGTTAACAAATTGAAATCTGATTACATTTATTTTTTAGAAATTTGTTTGCATATATTTTTTGTAATTCCTTCATATTCTATGAAAAATTCCAAAATTTGTTGTTCGTCTGAAAGAAAAAAATGTAACGAAATAAGGAAAAGTATTCTTAATGCAATCTGCGTTTTTTTAGACATTAAATTCCGCTTAAATTTTATGGAATTTTATTTCATATTTTTGTCTTTTAAAAAAATGCAGGCCTCTCAAAGCACAATCTATGGGATATTTAAAAATGATAGTTCAACTATATTATATTTCATTAATTATAGCATTTGTTTTATGTTGAGCTGTTTCTTATTGCTCCAAGTTTTTCCATCAACTAAAACTAGCATCTTTATTCTAACATAGTTCACAAGATTGCAGTGAATGAGTGTTTCCTCTTAATTATAGTGTGTATAATATGTACAGGGAAAACACCGGAAATTCTTTTTTACAGATATCAGTGACAACACTCATTCAATAGCTCCGTTCCCAAATGTAAGCAAAATGAAAGAATTTGGTTAGTAACGTATTTTTATAGGCACAATTGTTGATCAAGGCAGGGTGGCCACCTACCTGGAAAACCTGGAATTATCAGGGAATTTTTTTTATACTGGAAAAAACCTGGAAAAATCAGGGAAATATGGATAAAAACCTGGAAATTTTATAGAAAAGCTGAAAATTTTTTCTTATATGTTTTTTTTAATTTCACTAATTTAAATTATTTGCTAATTTTCTTAATTTAAATTGTTTCATCCATTATACCCACATTTTTTAGACGGAAATGTATCTCCAAACAGTTAAAATATCATCAACTTTGCTTTCATCAAAATTTGCTCCATTATAACCCTGTTAAACTAGAATACAACATAAAATTCTCCCATGGTTGCTAAGCAAATGTCTTTGATCTCTATGCAGACTATGGGACTGTGCAATTTAGGAAAGGCAAAGATTATGGTGGATGTGGAAGACGGGGTTAGGATTCGGTTTTTAAATTTTGATTCACACAATGATTCAAGTTTGTTCGCAATTGAGAGTGGTAATTTTTTTCTATTTTGACAAAATGTTTTTGTATTTTTAACTTCATTAAATTCTCTGAAAATTAGTTGGTTGTAATTTAATAATAATAGATTTTATATTGCACTTTTTTTCTGAAAGCTTTTGAACTCCAATTCAAAGAAATCTGTAAATTATTTTTTCTCAACAAAAAAACCAATCACGCATTTTCCCCCATCACTAACAGCAATGTTTGTCGACAAATTGTTACAATTCTTGCATTAATGCTAATTTTTTCTATTTCATTTTAACCTTTTATAGTATATTTTTATTTTGAAAAAAGTTTTTTTTTAAGAACTAACTATATATTAATATCAAATATTAGTTTTTTGATTTAAAATTCGAATTGTATAGTTATCACAATATCGAAAGTTCTAAGATGTTGCTTGCATTCCAGAGATGATATTTCAAAACTATTCCTCTTTTTACCTAAAAAAGCTGACAATTACTAAGGAATTTATAGGAAACATATTAAATGATGTATATACATAAAATAAAATTTTTTTTTACTGAAATGTGTTTAGTCAGGAGAAGGAAAACGAAACTTAGTGTTTTAGTTCTGCACTGTAAAAGATTCCAGTTGTTCAAACAAAAACAATTAACTATGCTAAACTAAAAAACTGTGTGTTTAGATTGGAATTCTTTAAATGTTTTAATTTCAAACAAGAAAAAAAAATCAAAAAAGTATAAATTTTAAGGAATTTTATCAATCTTTTTTTTTTCTTCTATAGAGTATAGAACTAAAAATTAGACAATTTTTTATACTGAATTTCTTAAAATAAAATGCTATTTCAAAGTACCATTATTTAAAAATTTGACTTGAAATATTGGTTTAAGGAAAATATGATCAGTGAATTTTATGAAAAGCACTGATAAGATGAAATGCAGTATACAGTACAGCTTTATATTGAAATGTAATTACAGTGATTCACAAAAGTGTTGATACACTTATGACTTTCAATGAAATAAGACTATCCATTAATTAAAATGAATGTTTCAGAACTTTAAAGCACAATTTAA